TTTTGGACTGAGCACCTGTGTACAAGAGACTAACAAACTAGACTAAAAGTCAAAATGGAGTCACTAATGCCAAGGTTCCACATCATCAAACCAACCAACTAAAACTGAGCTGTTGGGTGTCCTTGAGGGAAAACAGGAGGGAGGGAGGGAAAGAAGGCAGGAAGGAGAATGGAGCAGGGAAACGACCAATCCACTTTTTTATTCTTGATTCCTGCTCTGCTCAGCCCTACTCATCTCACTCGGTTCATGGAATAGAAACGTTGTTCAATTCTAGGCCCTGAAACAAAGCCCACTTAGATGGCTAAACTTTCACTTCCAATTATCCAAGCAAGCAAGGAGCAAGAATTAATGTCCTAAAGGCTGAGTTCGGGTTGAAAAGAGGGAAAAGTCCCACGAAATGAAATAAGAACAATTTTCAGTCAAAAAACATTTTTCATTCTGCCTTCACCCTTTTTTCCCTGCTATCAGATAAACCATTAACAATTCTGAAGTATTTGTTACTCTAACACAGGCTTGCACGGCTCTGTTTTCACTTGCAATGGCCCTGAGGATAAGAACCAGGACCAAGCTGTGTCCTGGTCCCTCCCTGAGAAGGGAAGTTTCAGTTGGTAACTCAAGGTAGTGACTCAGATGGCCCTCAACAGACTTAACCCTTTAACAACTGAGTCTGGGGGATAGCTGGGAGGTGGTAGGAAGTAGCAGTGTTTTAAGGCAGTGGCTCTCAGCTTGTGGCCCTCGGGTCAGCAGCTGCAATATCCTGTGTGATGAAAATTCCCAGGCTCCGCCCAACCCCCTGAGCCAGAAGAGCTGGAGGTGGGGTAGTAGTCTGGGTTTTCCATAGGAGTTTAGTGAACCGCAGGGAAAGTATGCAGTCCAGTAGTGCTGAACCGCAAGACTCGTGACCCTCGGTAAGTCACGTATGCGCACGCACTTTTCGTAAGAATGTTGTCATGGGTAGCCAAGGTAAGAGTTTCCAGTCTTTCTCTGTCAACAGGCTTCTTGCCCAACCCCCCCCCAGCCACATCATCTTGCACGTGGGCCATAATTTTTTCAAAGATTACATATTTCAATATATACTACGTCATATTAATCTACAGAAATTCTGTTTCTAAAATAAAATTATTTTCTGTGGAGAAAAATTGCCGTACTTAGGGAACTTGGCACATATCGCTAGAGCAAGCAGGAATGGGTCCCTGGGTACCGTGTGAGGGGGAGGAGGTGAGAGGGGAGGAGAGCGGGCGGAGAGGAGGAGATGATGATTTGCCATCTGGAGAGGTTCCCACATGGCAACCTTGCTCATTTTCTTGTTTAACTTTTCATAGCAATCCTATTTTGCAGTGGGTGGTCTAGGGCGAGGGTGAGTTAACAGACCCCAGATCACTTCTGTGAATGGAAGATAAATACGTATCAATTCAGGATTCAAAGGCTCAAGATGGGGGACAGAAAGGAGCCCCCAAGAGGCAACACTGAAGGAGCCACAACAGGGTGACACATGTCAAACATCAGCCTTACCGTCTAGACTGATGTAGGTGCCGCTCTTCCCGTGGTAAAGAAGGAATGATCTTCCCACAGAGTCCAGAGGAGCAAGGAGCAAACACACATGGTAGGGGTCTTTGGGCAGTGGCCATGTACTAAGAGCACTTACAAATTTCTGCATTCAGTCAGCCCGTGCAGAAAATTCAGTGTGCACCTGAACAACCCTGGTTTAACCTGTTGTGGACACAGAGCCTAAGGTTTTTATGGCTTAGGAGATTTATATGGTTTTAAAAGCTCTTTGGCACCTTCCTTAACCCATCCTTAATGAGGTTCCAGAAGCCTCTACCAGACCACAGCCCATCTAAGGATCCCTGAAGACACAGCTTCCCTCTCTTCCACCAGAGTCCATCTGGGGCCTTGAGTGGAGACCAGTGCAAACCACCCCTTCCCAGAAGGAACCTGAGGGGTATAGAGGGGCTAGCTAGCGGTAGTGGGGAGAAATCCCTAAACCATTACCCAAATTTATCTCAAGGTTCCCATATGTGGGAAAACATACCCACAATCTAACCCACAGGAGTCAATAAGTGCCAGGCAAGAACGTCTTAGTTTCCATGGCTTCAGGGCAAAGGCCATGGTGGGGAGGTGTTCACAGGAAGATGGGAGTACTGGGCTGACTGGGAATGGCAAGAGAATTGAGCAAAAGCAAATCACAAATCTGCCACTTCCACGGCCTAAATAAAGAAATTGTACAGGGTGGTGTAGGCATGGGATCCAGCACTTGGGAGGCAGAAGCAGAAAGATCTTAAGTTCAAGGCCAGCCTGGGCTACCAAGCAAATCTGAAGCTAGCCTGGGCTACATAGCAAACTTCAATATATAAAAGGGGGAAAAAAACCTAAAGTTATAAGGAAATATATGAACTGACATGTATACGTGTGTGTGTGTGTGTGTGTGTGTGTGTGTGTGTGTGTGTTATGCAGTACTGTGGTAACAATTTGTCACAGATTTAGAGAAATCAGAGTACAAGAAAAGGACAGGATGCAGTGACAGCATCTACATCAGGCAAAAGGATAATGGACCCTGGTTGGAATTTTAAGCCAAGTACCTCACATCTGTCACTCATTATGGGGTAACAGTGAAAACTCGGCCATGTGGATGTAAAATTTACCTAAAAGCAAAGATGCTAATTATTGGCAAAGCACTTAGGGTAATGACAGCCCACACGGGCCAATTCCCCAGGATCCTCGTGAAGCAATCACACTAAGCTCCTACAGTACATACTGCTGAGAAAAGCCAGGGGATATGCCCCACCCAATGCCCTGCTCCACACAGGCAGATCCCATAAGGCAGAAACATTTTCCTTTCCTTGAAAACACAGCATGTTTGTAATTTCTGAACATGAGAGTAAAGTCTCACATCTGTTCCTCCTTCCTTCCTTCCTTCTCACCCTTTCATTTTTAAAAAACTGTTTGGAGGGGCTAGCAAGAATGCTCAGGTAAGGACACCTGCTGCCAAGGCTGATGACCTGAGTTCAATCCCTATGACCCAGATGATGGACGGAGAGAACCAACTCCTGAGAGTCATTCCCTGACCTCCACACTCTATCCCACCACTCCAACACACACACACACACACACAGATACACATGCACACATACATACACATAAAAACACACACAGACACACACAAACACAGATACACACATACAGATACATAAACACTCAACACATACACACAGGCAGACACACACATGGACACACACAGGCAGACACAGAGACACACACAAACAACAGACACACACATGAAAGCACACATACACACACATACGCACACAGAGACAAAAACACAGATACACACATACAGATACATGCACACACACATACACACAGAGACACATACAAACACACATAATCATACACAGACACTATATTTTTTAAATGTAATTTTAAAACTTTTAACTGTTGGGAGTCTTGAAGTCAGACTTGGAATTTAATTACAGTGTATGCTTTTATATTCTTATCAGGGGTCTGAAAACTTATTAAAATTTATTTCGCCATTTTCAGAACAACCCCCTAGTGACATACAATGATTTATTTTATAATCATATCTATGTTCCTCAACCATCACTTGTTATTTTAAAATGTAACACCCACAGAGACCAAGGTTCAATCTCAACACATATGTGTACAAATCCCTATTTCCAAAGTACCTCTTAGCATTTTTTCATATCCACATTTAGACAAATTAGATTACACTGCCGTATTTATCTCGTAATTTTGTGGTTTTGCTTGGGGTCTTGTTGCTGTTGGTTTTTTTTTTTTTTCCTGGTGCTAAAAATCCAACCAAGGGCTTCATAAGTGTCAGGCAAGCAGGCTACCACTGAGCCGTACTTTATTTACCAAGACCGCAACCAAAAGCTAATGCTTACCTCATCAAAATAAACGTGAGGGTTAGGGAAAGCCATTAGTCAGAAGGTCCAGGTAGAGCCATAGACAGGCATAGGTACAGGGTCCCTCTGAGAAGGACCCGCTTAATACTATGATGAGCAAAACCAGCAACCTCTTGGCAAGACCCTTTTGCTCAACTGCAACCTTCCTTTCCTGAGGATATGCTTAAAATGAAGGACTAGAGGCAGGGATCCCCATAACTGGACCCGCATGGGATGTAAGATGCCTTGGAAGCAGCCAGAGCAGCTGGGGGCCATACAGGCCTCCGTGGTATCCCTGCATGCCTGGGGCCCTGTGGCTTCAACAAGCATGCTGGCCAGCAGCATGAGACATATGATTAAGTATGACAACACATGGTTAAGTATGACAACATTCTAATGCTGCTCACTGGGAAAATGATCCTAAACGTAACTGAAGTTTTAATATAGATGCGTGTGTTTTTCTCGTACACCTCGTTTCTTGCTGAACACACAGCTCTGGGATTCACCTCCCTGTACCTGTGTCTGTTTGCATCTCTACTTGAATCTTCTGACTCATGGTTTTCCCCCACCCTCGCATTATTTTTTATGAATACCAGTCATAAGCTTTTGGCTGAGTAAAGCCCAGAGTGAAAACGCAAGTTCCTACCTGCTGCAAACAGGACTCCAGGAGCTAAGCAGGGTATCTTCCTTTCTCTAATCATCTTGTTAACTTAGCCAATCACTAATTTAGGAATCTGTGAACTTAGGGGTCTTCCAGGCACTTAAAGATCACAATCAGAAGAATAGCATTGGTTATCAACCAAAAACAAACTATTTAGACTTTAACAAGACGTTACAAATCTACCATATCAGGGCTAATCTTAGTGAGGAGCAGTGACTCACAATAGTGACTTGACACACCATTTTATTGTGCAGAGATGAGATGTCGAGGAAGATGGTCTTGCCTTAGTCTGCGGGCTAAAAGAAATTACCTGGGGCAGAAGTGTCTTGCAGCCACTCCTAGGTTATGTGTGACCTTCAGCCTTGTGACCTCACACTGGACCACCGCCCCATAGGCGTTGTCCGTAACATGCCTGCTCCACATTTGGGTAGATGGGAAACCTAGGTACTGAAAGTATGTGAAGAGTTGTTACAATGGGCAGTCACTGCCACCTCAGCCTCAGCTGCCGAGCTTTTGGCTAAGTACAGGATCCACCAACAGAATGTATCAGTAGATTCTAATTCTAATGGGCTCTGTGTGTGTGTGTGTGTGTGTGTGTGTGTGTGTGTGTGTGTGTGCACGCGCACGCGCACGCCTGTTTGTGTGTGTTCATGTTGGGGAGGTTCACATGAATTTGTGTGCATGTGGAGGTTGAAGACTGACGTCAGGTGTCTTTAACTGCCCACCACCTCATTATTATTTTTAAATGTATTCGGTTATTTATTCATTTTGGGGGAGATGCTCTAGTTAGCATATCTGTTGCTATGATAGAGCACTGACCAAAAACAACCTGGGGTGGGGAATTTTATTTCATCTTACAGCCCATCCTGAAGGGAAGCCATTGCAGGGACTTCGGCAGGGACCTGAAGCACAGACCCTGGATGGAGGTTCTTGCTGCCTTCCTTTTCCCGGCTCGCTCAGTTTCCTCTCTTATACAATCCTGCCCCACCTGCCTAGGGATAGCTCCACCCATTGGCCTGGACCCTGGCACGTTAACTAGCAATCAAGAAAACGCCTCACAGACGTGGCCATGGGCCAACTGGACTAGGCAGTTCTTCAGCTGAGGTTCTTCCCAGGCGACTCCAGGTGAGTCAAGTTGACAAAAAAGTAACCAGCACAGTTGTGTGAAAATGGGAGTGCACGTGTCACCGCATGCTTGTGGAGGTCTGAGGACTTGAGGGAGTCGGTGATCTCCTACCATTGTGTGCGTTCCAGGGATGGAACTGAGACTGATAGGCATGGCAGCAAGGACTGGGCATCTGGTCAACCCTCCACTTTACTTCTGAGATAGGGTCTCTCATGAACCTGGAGATAGCCAGTTCAGCTAGACCGTCTGGCCAGCAAACTCTGCCCCGTATCCCCGCCATTACAAGTGTATAGCACTGCACTTATCTTTTACATGGGTGCTGGGTACTGAGTTCAGGTCTTGGTGCTTCGGAAGTAAGCAGTTTGCCAACTGAGCCATTTCCCCAGCTCCTGTTGTTGTTTGTTTATTTCTTGGTTTGTTGTGGTTTTTTTATACATTCAAAGGCCCATTATCTCTCATCACCTTTAGGGTACTTACAATAAGAATTATCTTAGGAAAACATAGTATGTTACAGAAGCCATGTGTTTAGACATAATTCTCTAATGGAAACATGCTGTGGGTTTCTACAATAAATAAGCCCCCTCCTTAAGTACACCAGGCTTTGCGAGCCTGAATCCCCCGTCAGATGCTTCTGGGAAATCAGCTTTTTACTGAAGCCCATGGTGAACTGTGCAGGGAAGACTTCCATCTTACAACTCGAATGATCACACTCTACACATCTGGATCAGAATTTGAAATGCCCCCTTACCAGATTTTAACAGAACATCTCAATCATGTAAATCTCATAGAGTATCATCTCCCCCATCAGCAAGCTCATCTGAGGCACTGCAGAGAGCCCACCAAGGTTGTGGTCAGAGGGTTTTGTGACTTTCCCAGAGAACTGACCTCTGCAGCTACAGATGCAGGCAGCTGCTGAGCGACAGTCTTCCTTCATTTGCTGAACCTGAGTCAGAGAGGGAATTCACTGTGCAATGACACGTTTCATATCTTTCAGATGCCAAATGTTCAAAGTTTAAAACTACAGGCCACTCACAAGCTGGGCAGCGATCCAGGCATTAGCTCACACTACATCAGTGACCTCATGCTCCGTCAGGGCTGTGTGGTTTATATCACCGGGGTCCTCTCCCCCTCCCAGCCTCACTCCCTTTCACTGAGCCTAGAGAGCTTGCTAGCTCAAGCTGACCGAGTAATGAATAGAATGGCTCAAGCTGACAACAGTGTAGATGGCTTGCTAGCTCAAGCTGACGGAGTAGAGAATTTGCTAGCTCAAGTTCAGGAATCTAGATCATTCCATCTGGTTGAAGAGAAAGCAAGCCTGAGACAGGGCTGCGTTCCTCTGTGTAGGTGATGAGTCCTGGAACTACAGCAGCAGAGGAATGGTTTCCAGCGAGCGGGTGCCGCGCAAACACACTTGACCACCGCACCATCACTACCTCCAGCCCACAAGGAGGGAAGGAAAGTTTTCTCTGTTTTATGTTTTTCCTGCCCTGAATTTTAAGGGAAGAAAATTATAAAACCAAGAGCCTTCATATCCCAGGAGACATTTATGTTTAAGCTGGACGGAGCACTACCCCGAATAACAGGCAACAATTTCACCCTGGCAGGGAAATGGCCTAAGTGACTTAATGGATATTTTCCATCTCTAATTTCCATGATTAAAAGAAAGAGGTTGAGAGAGGTACATGTGGAGCCTATTGTGAGTTTGCCAATGAATCCTAATTTAGATCAAAGAGAGTCCATGAGACACCGAACCATAAACACCCTAGTGTGTGTTACTTCAAGGAAGTTGTTAGTGTGTTCCCGATGGCTATTATGTGATATAGTTGCGCTGTGTAGCCTGCACCCTTTAATTACTAATACAGAAGAAAATCCCATATAAGATCGAGGAATGTAAATGAGACCTCTGCTCTTTTGAACCTTTTATGCATTTGCCAAATTAGAGTTTGCCGTGGACTTTGGTTTTCCCTGATCGCTGTTGGTAGAGATCATTTGGCTCATGGGATTAAATCTGACTTTCTAAAAACTATTTCCGATCGGCGTGCAGATTTCAGACCTTTAAGTGTGCTTTGTGCTGAGACATGGATCATCAGAACCAGATTGGGGACAACTTTGAAGTTTTCAAAGGTATGGATGAAGCACTCTCCCATTCTCATCTTCCCTTCACTGCTCAAGTACAGGCTGCCGGTTGTCCCCACGAGAGTAGCCTGCAGAGTCCAGGGCACACTATGTCACTATGCTTGTACAAGCGCCTGGCTTCTGGGCAGAGCTCTAGGCACATGAGTCTGGATCAGCAGGTGTGACCACCCTGTTGCTCACACCAGCCTCTCAGGCAGCATTTCAGGAAGAGAAAAGCCACACACGTCATCGTGAACAGTTTGAGTGTAACAATGCTTCCTTCTATAGGGTTCTGCTGCCTGCCACCCTTGTGCAGAAAAAAAAAAGAAATGTCAACAGCGTTGCACATGCATTGAATGCTGAATGCAGGACCAGGCCCTGTATTGATGCAAGGATGCTTATTACGCTGAGGGAGTACTGAGGATGTTAGCCATTAAGTGAGGCAGACTATGTCCAATCCTGCATCTTGTTCAATAAAGCAAAGTCTTTTGCCATCTGTCTCCTGCTACAAAGAGATTATAATAATAAAATCATTGCTAATGAGTAAACTAAGTAGAGGCTAATTCCCTGGTAGGTCATATTGGTGTTCTTCTCCTGAGGATGTCCTGTTCTCAATGAGGCAGAGAGCACCGGGGAGGGCATTGGATTGTGCACAAACAGGGATGCCTAAAATCAAAAACCAACACAGCATATGTCGGCATTTAAAGCCCCATCAAAGGGACATCCAACTTTTCAGCTGTAACCCAAATGTAAATTTCCCTTACCCTGTCAATTAGCAGATTACAATGCTTCTGTAGCGGGAAGGCCATTCTGCTGGCAGAGCCCGGGTATTTGGAATAGGTCCAGGGCAGACAGATGGTGAGGAAAAGGGGTGCCACAAAGGGTTCCCTGTTTGCGGAGCCAACAGTTCTTCCACGCAGCCAATGTAACCTTCAAGGGGATGAACCACAAGGGGCGGGCCTTCACCCGCACAGCTGGAAAAGCACGTGGGTGTCTCCATGCTCGAACTAGGTGCAGGAGGCATTTGAAGAAGAACTTGTGCAAGACACTGATTGGAAATCATCGTCTTTGGCACCTAAAGAGTCTCTCCTCAGTGAACACAGAAAGCACGGTCACTACCTCCTACAAACTTGACACGATTGTTTAAATTAGGAGAATAGAGAGTGCAGGCTGTGTTTGGGATGCTGACTGTACCGCACACAGCAAACTGATATGATCATGGGACCCACTGAGGATGTTTGCCGTACAGCCACTAAATGACATCTTCCCATTGTTCTGGTCCACCTGAGACCATCCCAGTTGCCAGTTGCGCAGAAAGGTTTAATTCAGGGATTGATGACTAGTAAAGTTGTCATCATAATGTCCCCTGCTGACTTAGAAAAGTAATCTTCTAGTAGAAACACTAATTGATACTTCTCCGGCTAAGAACAAAACAAACAAACAAACAAAAAGCCCTTAGATGCCCTTTCATTGCGATCCAAAAGGCAAAACAACGTTGTATTATTTTAAATATTTTTGTAGATAAATAAAGTGTCTCCATTCCAGCTCACAGCTCCGGAAGCTTTGTTCCATGAGGGCATGGGATGCATGGCAGAGCCTACAGTAAGGCTGTCCACACCAGAGGGGACCAGAAATCAGAACGCAAAGCAGGGACCAACGGACTGTCACATATAACCCTAGTGACTGACTCTCTCCAGCGGGCTCTGTCTCCTGAGTTCTAACCATCCCAAAACAGCACCACCCACTGGGACATTTCCAGTTCAAGCCATAATCTCTCTAAACTGGTAACAACTAGCCATTTCTGAGTGCCAACAAGGCACCAGACACTTGACCTGTCTCAGCTCACTTAATCCTTTTAAGGCCCCCAAAAATGGAATCATTCTTATCATTTTAATGGTAAGACATTAAAGACCCAAGACAGGAACCAACCCGCATTCTGAAAATCACTCACATTGCTTGTTCCATTCCAGGGCTCTGACAAAACAGCCTGCTTTCTTTTAATTCCACGGTAATGGCCCCAAGTGAAATGGGTTCCAAGCTCCAAGTCAAACTCTTGTCTTCAAATGGAAATGTGCCACTCGGGACTGGGCAAAGCCACTGGTCCGGTGCCAAAGATTCAGTGGCGTTCCGTCATTACTCCTTCTTCTGCTCCAGGTCTTGGCTAGTGGTATATGAAGGGTACTGTCCATAAAGGAACTTCTGTCCATAAAGAAACAGAAGTTCAGGTTATAGGAAGAACCTCTGTGGGCATTCCTACAGGACAGTTAACTGGGTTCCACCAACCAGGTAACCGGTGAGAGATAGGCAGACAAAAGGGGGGACCGGGACTTTGCGTTTTCATGGTGTCCTTCCGCCACTATACTCAGATTCCTTCCTTCCGCGCTTTCCTTTCCTGTCCTGACACACTCTCCTCTACAGCGAGGGATGCCCATGCTGAGCTAGCACAGAGACCATGAGACAGTTATCCCAGTTAGAAACTAAGCCGTTTTTTTTTTTTCAGTTACTTCCAGCAAAAGCGGATTCTGATGTCACAAAAAGCCTGTTGTTTGTTTGTTTGATGTCATCCTGACTACAAAATTAAAAGAGACACTGATGTCATGCCATCTACAACAGCATTGATTAAACAACATAGACCTGGCACAACACTTGAAGCTACAGGGTTTTCAAACCCAGACAAGGATGACCTACCACACCTGGGGGTGAATTTTATGACTAGAACAACTGTTATCAGTTCTGAATGATCAGTAAAAGAGGCTAATCAAGCAATTAAAACAAAATTAACTGGGTCATCAGTTTAAACTTTTCAACCCAGGCCCCTGCCCTATATCCACACCCGCTGAAGAGGAAGGGAGGGAAAAAAGTCACAAAAGCCTCACTGGAGTAACAATTGCCTATTTTAATGTTGGCAACTTAAACTGACAATTATGTTGTTAATTGATAGTTATTTCACTGAGTTGTCATCCACAGAGATTGTTCAGATTAGCGATGTTGTTTTTGCATTGTGATTAAACTTCTGGGTAGCTGCATAAGACTGTTGTATTTTTTTAGGAGACCTTCTAACACAGAGAAGAGGAAAGGGGCCCACCCTCCTTAAAGACGCATCCCACTTAAAAGAAGCTGGGAATTACAAAGCCCTGCTAAAATGCCATCTTTAACAGAATGTGATATTGATGAAATGTAACGCTGGTTAAGGGAATTTTCTTCTACAGAAGTCAAATATTCATTAGGAGAGTGAAGCCCACAGAGACCCAGTTTTGTTCCTGGAACTGTCTCAAACTCAAGACCCGTAGTAGTATAAAGGTCAGAGCTGGTCTCTTTTGAGGTTGGGTTGTGGTGCTGGGAATCAGATCTAGAACCTTGTATACACTAGGCAGTTACTCGCCACTAAGCTACACTCCTGGTTAAACAGTACATCTTTATTATTATTATTATATTTAATTTATTTATTTGAGGAAGGGGCAGGTATGCATACTACGGTCTTGAGGATTAAACTCAGGACATCAGACTCAGTGTAAGAGTCCCCATCTGTGGTGTCATCTTGATGGCCCATCAAGGCTACATTTGTAAAGAAAGCAGAAAGAAAAGGAAAAGAGGGTATGGCGGATCACAGTTGGGACAGGAGGATCACAAATTCCCTGTCAGCTTAAGCTACCCATTGAAACATTGTATCAAATGACAAAACAAACAGAAAAGCACTTTCATATACAACACATTTTTCTTGGAGAGTCTTAGTTTCTTAACAGTACCTTACTGCTTTTTTTGGTTTGTTTGTTTAACATAGGGTCTGGCTGTGTTGTTCAAGCTAGTCTCTAGAGCAGTGGTTCTCAACCTGAGGGTCATGACCCCTTTGGGGGGTCATATATCAGACATCCTGTATATCAGTTATTTTACATTACAACTCATAACAGTAGCAAAATTAATTATGAAGTAGCAATGAAATAATGTTATGGTTGGGGTCACCACAACAAGAGGAACTGTATTAAGGGGCTGCAACATAAGAAGGTTGAGAACCGCACTGGTCTAGACTCACTCAGGTGATCCTCCAGCCTCGGCCTCCTGAGTAGCTGGAACTGCAGGTAGGCTGTTCCACACTATCGGACCTATGACTTTCAAAACTTATCAAACCAAATTGAACTTCTAAGATTTTCTACTGTGGAGAAGCCTTAAGCTCCAGCTACTTGTCAGTGCTGGGCAATAGGGAAGAATGATCTTGGGCATCTACTGGTCACATCTCAAGAGACCCAAACTGGACCATCCCCTCCCATGGGGCAGTCCTGGCCACAAAATGACAGCTGCCCAAATCTTAGGCAGAGTGTCCTGCTCAAATGAAACCCAGTGATGAGGGAAAATGATGGTTTTAGGATGAATGTGGACATTTAAGCTACTAATCATCTGTACATCTTACTCTCCTCTTAAATCAGCGGGCCTGGTGATGGTGGGGGGACGGCTTGGTGGTTAAGGGCCTGGAGATAGGGATGGAGTTGGCTTACTGGTTAAGAGCCTGGTGATGATGACTTGCTGGTTAAGAGTTCTTACTGCTCTTGCAGAGGACCTGAGTTCAGTTCCTAGCACCCAAGTCAGGCTGCTCTCAACCACCTGTAACTCCAGTTCCAAGGGGATCCAACACCTTCTTCTCACCTCGGTGGACACCAGCACTGGTATGCATATTCCTACATACATACCCACAGACCATGCACATAACTGCAAAACTTTTTAAAAAAATCTTTAAAATTTTAAATTAACAAGTCTGACAATAATGGCCAAGTTGGAGCAACATTATTTTACATGTGAACTGTAAATTTTGATTTGAGGGGCTTGAGACAGGGCTTTCCTCAGTAGCCCCACATAGGCCACAAACTCCCTATGCATTCCTAGGCTTGCCTCAAGCTCACAGCAGTCCTCCCGACTCAGCTTCCTAAGCTCCCATGCACGGCCCTTGAGCATCTATGCGACACTGCTTCTCCTTTCCTGCCTCTTTCGCTGTCCTTCCTTCAGCCGGCTGAGCTGCACAACTGACTCACGGTGTCGTGAGAGGACAACCGTGAGACTCACAGAATCCCCTCCCACACTGCTGACACACGGATCCCCACGTCTGTTTAGACGACCACCTCTCAGCCACGTTCTTGTTACTCGTGGTTTGGGTGGGACGTGCACCATCTCTAAGGCTCCAGGGTGAGCGGGCAACTCAGGTCCCTGCATTTGGGTTATTCCATGTCTCTAGCTAAAGAAATGGATCAGGGATGAGCACAAAACCCAGTTAATCAAATAAAGAATCCGCCATGGAGCTTTTACTGGAAGTCCTTGAAAGGAAAAAGAAGCTTCAGAGTTTATTACGTGAGGTGATGTAAGCTTAGACATAGCTGCTGACCACCATGGAAATAAATAGAGGGGACAGGGGAAGGTCACAGAGGGGAAAAGAGGATTTAGGAGGGCCTGCACTAGAATTTGTAAATGTGCACTTACACT